ATTACCAAACACCCCCACCCCAGTCTCTTTTTCAAAACAGCAGTCCCTTAAAACCATCCACCCGTCTGTCCAACAAGACTTTGAATTAGCTTAGAAATAGTTTAGAATTCATACAGATACAGCCTGCATTCCCATATGGACTTGTGAATTTTCTTCAGCAGATGGATTCATTTTTTTCAATCACAAGTGCACAGTTGCAATGCAGCCAAAGTGCTGAATGGCTACAGGGACCTTTTTGCTCTAAAGATGTGGTGCAAATGGTCCCTTCTCCAGAACTTGAACATCAGATATTCTAGTCCACCTGAATGGACCCACAACAGAGCTCCTTATTCACAAAATGTCTTCCTTCCAGGATATCGCAGCATTATAGCTGGTGCCACAAAAGGGGACATTGTGGCTCCCTCCCTCATGACCTGAGGCTTTCAGCATGAATAATGCAGCAGTGGAATGGAGAGGACAACCACTGAACCTCAGTTTCCATTCCTGAACCTCTGTAAAAGCAGTGGTTTCACCTGTTGTGAGCCGCCCAGAGTCACTAAATGAGATGAGTGGCCATACAAATTGAATAAAAAATAATAATGTTGTTACAGCCCTGCTGGACATCTTCTGATGAGGAGAAGGCGGAAGGAGAGCCAGGGGCTTCTAGGGATAATAGTCCTGGAGGGGGCAATTCCAGCAGTGTTGAAGCCAGTAACTCCACTCTGGCTGAGGCAGATCCAGCAAGCCCCAGGACTCCCTGCCTGCACCCACCGACAACCTCTCAGACTTGGAGGTTCACTCACCCAGTGCCAAGCAGAGGCATGCTTTAAAAATGCAACCACGGAGGGCTGAGCTCCACAGGTCCGACAGACTGGCCAAGAAGCAGGCTGGCAGGAGAGCAGGCTCCGAATTACCTCAGCTGTGCATCTGGTGGCTCAGCATGGCTTAGTTATTGGCCTCACTCACAACAACTTTTTAAGCCTCAGCTCTGCCACATTTACCTTGTTGTGTTATGCCTTGAACTCTGGATTCTACCTCACCATGTCTCTTGGATTTGTTGCTCATTCATCAGATTCCTGGTCTCGACCCACACCAAGCCTTGACTACATTACAGTTGCCATCTTTAGTTATAGGTAAAAAGGACTCTCTGCTTCTGAAAGTTCTGAGCTGCATATCTCTGGACTCTGGCAGGCATCCAGCTTGCTATCTTGCTGGCATAGAAAAGAAGTAGCCACTGGGAAGAACTCCGGGTCCAAGGACCTACCTGAAAACATGTATTCTTGGTAGGATAGACATATGGTTTTCAAAGAAATAAGGCAACATTTGGCAGGAGCAGCTGGGCAGCCAATTCTATTTTTCTTTAGATGCCAAGTATAAGACATTATATTCCATCATTTTACCAAAACAGTGGCATTGGGGGGAAAAAAACCTTCCAGTATGCATACATACCAATGCAGTTGGTTGATAAAGAGTTGATTCACATCATGGAGGCAGCGTGATGCTCTAGGGAAAGAGACAACACAGTTCAGCTTTTTGAGGTGTTTCATATCACTCTGAGCCTTGACCACTGGTTCCCATAGCCAGAAGAGATTTTTGTACTTGTCTTTTGCATATCTTACTCTTCTAGGGCTTCCTATAGTTGCCCAGAAGTGTTTGAAGAAACTTCTGGAACTATAGAATGAAGCTTCAAAGTCTCGGTGCATAAACTCCCATTCATTTTTAGAAATGGACATGTGTTGCTCCAGAAAGCAGCTTCAGATGGATGGGCGCTTCTCACAAATTTTCATGAAAGCAAAGCATCTCCTTGAAGTTTTCTACAGCATGAGTATGTGTGTGACACACACAATTGGCAGCAAACAACTCATCCTAGCTCATCAAAGGATAATACAAATAAAAATGTTTTAATTTGCGCTTAGAATAATAAGCAGAAGGTAACAAATTAATGTTTCTGGCAGTTTAGAAGGAATTCTACCTAATTTCTGATAAGGAAGGAGGGACATAAGGAGCAGAACCTGATGGAAATTTTAACCAAATAGTTTTACATGGGGGAAACTGGCTCTTAATACCAAATACATATTAAAACTGTGGAACAAACAGTACTACTTTGACAGAAAAAGCATTTCATAACATTATCAGATACAACATTGTGGAAAACATTTTTGCAAGCCCTATATTTTTTCTATGGCTGCAGTGGTAAACAAACCATCTTCAAACTGATTCACATATTCTGTGAGTCTGTGGTGACATAGACAGACAAATTCATGCATAAAACACCCCCTGCTTAACCAGACTGATGTCAGACTTATGCATTAATTGAATTTAATGTATTTATTTTAAGGAAAAGAATTGAGAGTTTACAGTCCAGTAGGAAGAAAACTACTGTTCCTGCATCAAAGTACTGACGTCTGGTACATAATTAATTGCAAATTCTCAGCTATCTTGTGCTTACTTTAGTGGCCATTTGCATTTCTGAGAATGGTGATGCCTATGAATAAACATGAATGATAAGTATATGGAGCTATATAAGTATATGCATGCATGAGTTATTTATGAAGAACACCTGGATGCAATTCTCATAGAGGTGCTTTTAGAAACCGTTTCAAAGCTGTTCATGATGTAGGTGGAGTGAGGAAGAGATAGACATTTCAATGTGCCACTTATTAAAATAATCATTGACTTGTTCTTGGGCAAGATGGATGACATCTGCAAGAATCCTTGTTTTGCATCTTCTACTCTTTTATTGAACCCTCTGGTGAAAGATGTTTCACAGGAAAATGTGTTTTTTTTTAGAACTTCATTCTGATTTAATAGAAAAAATGGTTCTTGCCATGGCAGGATGGTACACACATTTTTCTCCCTGAACGGACTTTCAGCCTACAAACAACAGAAGCTCCAGCTCTTCCTCCAGCATTCTCTTTTTATCAAGAAAACTTGCTAAGATTAATTTTCCCAGCATGTCTTCCTTTTAAAGTGGCTGTTTTTCAATGCCATTTAAAGATAGCATTCTGATAAATTTCCAGTGGTCATGTGCACAAGCCGAATGAAGGCGCTCGTATCAGTCTGTCCCACATCAGGAAAACAACAGATGCTGCATGAAGGAGGAGGCAAAAGGGCCATTATCTAGGTAGGCACGAGCATCTGCGCATACCAAAGTATGTGCATAGACACACGCACATGTTCTAAGGGTTTGTCAAGAAGGGAAACATGCAACTTTTTGCAAGGGGGAGGAAGCAACGTTTCACACAGGAAGATGCCATCTTGATTCTGCAAGCTGCCCAGGTAATTTTATTATTGAGCAGCAGCTAATTAAAGTGGTTAATTAATAACAAAAAGTGTACTGCCTCTCTCCTGCAAGATTCTTGTAACATGATTGATTGATTATGTGCCACCAAGTCACTGTTGACTTTTAGCAACCACATAGGTTTTTTCCATGACTTGTAGCATGAACTTACCTTTTGAATCATAGAAGGCAGCACCCAGAAACTCATACGCCAGTTTCAGATACGTTCAATGGTATTGGGTCTTTCCAGTCAAGAACAGCCAAGGGTTAGGAAGAGCGAGAAGGCCACCTTAGCTGGCAGCTCCTGGGAGCAGGAGAACAGCAGCTAGATCTCAAACAACAGAATGGGATATATGTTAGGTAACTAGTCCACAGCTCCAAACCTGACACTGTTAAGTCCATTAGGGACAGACAGTGTTAAAAATGAATCGTTTCTGCACATAGAATTGCAGGGAAGGACATTTTTCTCCCTTAGATAACAAAACAACTTGGGCCAAGCCTAAATGGAATTTGTTATGGTGACTTCATCTCAGCTGCAATCCCCCCAAATGATTGGAGAGAGATGAGACATCTTAATTGTTTCACACCAGCGTGTACCAGTAGGATGGATACAGATGGATATTGAACCCCTTTTTCTGGATTCATACAATAAATTGAACCAAATGAATCAAACAGGGTGGAGTCTTACATAATGTTAAACTACAAAAAACTTAACCAAGGTTAAAACTAACCAAATTTAGGATGTTGTGTGCCTGCATTTTCTAGGTCATTAACCAATCTAGTTAAGCGTGGTTCTCTATAGCTTTGGAGAAACCACCTTCTCAGAGCACTATTACAATTCCCCTTATTGCTTAAACCCAGTTTGAATATCATTTATATTTTTACTTAAGGGAATATTAATCTGAATATAAGTCTATGTTTGTGTGGATGGATGGGTAGACAGACAGACATTGGTCTTTCTTATAGTTATTCAGTTCAAAAAATAATGTAAGAGCCAGAGAAAATGCAACGGAGAGAACTTCTTACCACCCAAGATAAACTTCCCAGTAGGATCTTTATGACTATAATTTCTGCCAACCCCAAACAGCATGATTAATGTGTTGTGTTTAATTGTTGCATTTTATTGCTTTATTGCCTTGATTTATAGATTATTTTATTGTTGATGATTGTATTGAATTGTTTTTAATTGTAGTTAATTCATATTGTCCTTTCTTGTTTATCCCTTGGTGAATAATGCAATGATAATAAGAATTGTCATCAAAAACATATTAAACACCTCAGGTTGAGCCTGAAATTGCACATGATATCAGTGAACATGATACCTCTTTTAAACTTTAATTAAATTAGAGCAGTTGGATAGCCATTCTGAAAAGGTCAGGGTGTCAATTTAATTTCCAGTGACAACTTCCAAGGAAAGAAACCATATTAAAAGAGATACAGCATACATTCACCTTGATTTTTCTCTCATTTGGGCTCAGCTTTCTTCTATAAATGAAATTAAACATTACATCTTCAGACTTTGGCCCCATCTGTGAAATGGGAGTAGCAGAGACCTAGCTCCTGAAATACTGTATGCTTCTGGGATTGAGTTTTGCTTCTCAGAAATGGTACCATTTTTAAAAATGCAACCATTTCATTTCTTCATCTCTTGAAGAGAAAACAGTGCTTTTAACAAAAAACACTACAAGCAGGTGGCTGCCACATTTTTTGACAGCCCATCTCCTTTTATGTTTGCCCACAGGTTGGAATTATAGAAGACTTCCTATACCAATTAGAAGATAGTTTCTTAAAAACCAAGAAACTCAGAACAGCAAGGAGGCAGAAAATGAAAATGAAGCGGCTTCAAAGCGAACAGCCGTGCTAGGCCTACTAAGGAGAGACTCATATCCTGTGCCAGAAATGGCAAGAGAGGACATTTCTACTACAGGAATTTGACAATGCAGGCCGGCCTTCAAATTAATGAGATGTCCCTTCCATACGACTCATCTTTAGCAACCAGCTCCCGCAGTTCATTAGTCTCATCAGACAGGAATAAATATTCATGAGATGCTTGATGGGGTTTTGTGGTCTTGTTTATTCATGCATAGTCAGAAATTTCAATCACTACCGCATTCCTTGTTTTGGGCACAGTCCAGTCAGTGCACCTTGGGCTGATCCTTTCCATTCGTAACCCTGAATCTTTTCCTGGAACAGATCCTGCTGGGCAGTGTGTCATATTTCTTTTCAGTCCAGAACTAGTCAAGGGTGATCTCTTTCAGAGGAATTTCAGAGACTTAATTGTTATGCACATTAGCATATAAAATGGCTGGAGGCCTTTGACTATTGCTTTCTTGGATGTGCAATGTATGAATCACCAAGTTGAATGCAGCCCACCGTATACCTGTGGTGGTCCATCAAGTACATTCACAGACAATCGTAAGAAACTAAGGTTATTAACCCTTTGTCAAGCCACTGTAACTAGCTGGCAGCTACAATACCATTGGAAGAATAGGTAGCATGTAGAAGAGCCCTGATAAAGACTGAGTGATTCTAGAGAACTATACAATAAGATATGCTACACTTCCAAGAGCCATCCTACAGGTTGGATAATCCAATGCATACACATTCAAAAGATTACAGTAGTTCTATTGCCAATATTAGGTTGCTAGAAGCAAATGACCAAATGGGGCCTTCCATCCATTCCATATATAGCGGTAGACTAAACCATAATTCTGTCCTGTGATAGGTAGTAAATGACTAGAGGGCTATTAGTCCTACCTCGCAATGACTGTCACTTGGGCTGACACTCATTCTGCCTTTTGGCAGGCTCAACCAGTAGTAAATTTGGATATCCTAGTATATGGAAGCCTTGACAGAAAGCCCATACCTGACCTTCAGAAATCATGCCTTCTGGCAGACGGAACATACCTGTACTCAAGGATGCATTTTGTTCTTCAGAGTCTGCAAAGCCAGAAATCTGGGACATTGTTAGAAAGAAGAATAGTATTCTTTAGAATCACAGCTGTATTAGAGCCATTGTGTTCACATGCTTCATCATTTAACTGAACTACGAAGAGTTACACTTCTTTGATTGATATAAAAGTAGCTGCTCTTAAAAACCTCCAGTATATATAATGCCCAGCTAATTGTCAAGGCACCATCCAGCTTTCTTATTCATAAGGATAGTGTAAATTAGTTAATCCAGAATCGTGGCAGGAAAAAAAAATAGCAGAATACTAGTTTATTCTCCCTTTCAAGAAGAACAGCTGATTGGGATATCACTGTTCCTTTATGACCATTCTGCATTCCAGTATCTATTTCTCATGTCTAAGCTTTGTCAATCAGATAATTGAATAAGGTAGCCAAGAATTTCCCAGGTTTCCCTCCCATAACTCAAAATAAAACTTTTTTTTTTGTCCTGCTCTGTTTGTAGTAGTAGTAGTATTAATTTGCCAAACCTTTGAATTTGAGTTTCAGTTATTCTGCTTAAGCACACTTGTAAGTTACAACACAGCTTTAAAACTGACTTGAAAGTTACATAGATTCCAAGATGATTCTTTATGATGCTTACCTAACTTTGCCTCTACTCTGTTCTGCTCTTTTGTCCAACCCCATTTCTAGGATCAAAGTCAATGCAAACCATGAACAATACAACAATGCCAGCAACAAATTTCTCTGCACACTTTTTGTTTTGGGGCCAATCAGCAAATCCCAGCAAAATTCAACAAACAAAGAAACAAAAACAGATGTTTGCATTTGGAAATCTAGTCAGAAAAATGACTGTGCTCAAAACCAGGGAAATGAAAAAAAAAAATAGTGCATCTATAGTTTTTTTTCCCCATAATCTTAGTTTCAACATATTTTGAGGAAGAATTCCTTTTGGGGAATTGTAACTGTGAATATGACATTCAGAGTATAGACATACAGAAATGCATAGTTTTAACTCAAAACAATTTGTAAATCTGAATGGTCAAGAGCTCAGCAATTCTATCGGTAAGGCACATACACACTGCTTTTTACATTTACATTTTTAAGGTTTTTATGTTTAGCAATCTGCCTGAAAAACGAAGCATAAGAAACAACATTGTATTTTAATTCATGAACTCTGAAGTTCTTCAGAGTAAAAAAATTTAAAAGAACAGTAAGTAACTTCCAGATAGACAGCAGTCTTTTTTCTTCATTCCAAAATTGTTGAGTGAAAATACACTTAATTCACTCACCATCACCCTCATTTCTCCCTTCACTCAATTAGTTCCAGCCTGTGGCTGCCACTGTATTGGCTAATGTTCTCTCTGAATTTCCACTGCTTAGAAGGATTTTTTTAAAAAAAACAAAAAATGTTGGAACATTCCAAGCAATGCCCCATTTTATCCAAGACAAAACTTCTGAACATTGAGTATTTTGTTCCAAGATGAGAACGTTCAAAACAGCTGTTTTGAATGTGGAATGTTTTCTGCTTGCTTAACCTCTGGACTAGGCTCTCTAGTTGAGCTTCCACAAGGTTGCCACATCTTATTTCTCACTGTTTGGGTACTTACTTGCCATTAAGTCCATCCAGGATATGGGATGGCTAGCAATGCCTCTTTTCCACCTTCAGATGTCTGTACTTTTCTTGACATGCAATACATTGCCTCTGAAAGCCAAGGCAAGATTTTCATAAGCTCTTAAATCAAAATGCCAACAAAACACATAATAGTTTGATTTATGCAACTGTGACTGAAAGAAAATGTGTAATGGAATCAAAAATTGATTGCATGTTTCTGCGTAATCCAGGCAATCTTGAGATAGTGTCAGTTCCTGAGATGGAGCTACAAAGTATTGTTGCTGCATAGAAGTAAGGATAACAATGCCAATGTTGCTTTGTTTCCAGTGGAACTTTATGGCCCCATAAGTGTCCCCTGTTGATCAATATGACAAGATGAGTAAGGATAACACTACAAGCATTATTAAAGCTACTTTCCGTGTGTGTGTGTGTGTGTGTGTGTATACATGTATGTGTGTGTTTTCTCAATGCAGCAGGTTAAAAGTCAATGTTCTAGCATTGCAAGCATCTCATGGCACCTCCCAGTATATACAGTTTAAGAGTCCAATTTTTTCCTTGAGCTTCCTGCGTCTTCAAGACCAACCAAACATGCTGCATTCACTACATGCTCAACCAGGTCACTTAAAACGCAACAGTCACATGTGTGCAACTATCTACAATTGATTAGCTAGTTAATTCATTCTATTGTGGCAGGGATGTTTGCAGGGTGAGGTCAAAAACATCAAGATGGTGGCCATGAAGGTGCGATCAGAGCTCTGCTTGTCTTTTGACCCTACCCTGAAGACACTCCTCTATCCTGGGAACCCAGAAAAGGAATACACTTGATTCAAGTTAAAGTGTATTGTCTGAATGCAGCTACAGTCTCAGGCAGGACAAGGACTTCCTGTCTCACTGCTGCTCCCTCCCATTCACCCTTTCTCCAATGGCAGCTAATTCCTTGGCCAACTGGCTGCGTAAGCAACTGTCATAACCACTTCACCTTGTTTCAGTTTTAGGCTACCTTCCAATTAATGCTTAATGGCTTTCAGTGGGTCAGCAAATTGCTCAGGAAAACTGCTTAGCTTCGATCCAGAGAAACAGCTACTCTTGGAGGTGGATTAGATGGAAATAATTGATTTAATTTTGCAAAATGGTGGGGCAAAATTGAATATTTTTTACTATTATTATTAGCTGCCCCAAGTGCCATTTATGGGTGAAATTGTGAGATATAAATTCATGGAATCATACAGTCAGAAGGAATCCAATCCTGTGCTGAGTGCAGGATCTCCTAAAGCATTTGAGACAAATGGTTATCTAGCCTCTGTTTGAAGACTTCTAGTAAAAAGGAACATAATACTTCACAAGCAACCTATTCCACAGTCGAGAGCTCATCCTCAGGAAATTCCTCCTAATATCTAGTCTGAAGCTTCTATTGTTTCTGATAATTGCCTTGTGTCCTTCCTTGGTTATACAGCCCTCCTTTCATTTCCTATATATCTCCCTTTTTCTTTTCAACATTTCAGAAAGCTTTGTGAGTTCACACTAATCATTTTAGAAGCCTCCCATTTTAATTTCAGAATCCCATTTCTCAGGATTTTCCATCCTTCCCAGATACTTTTGCCCTTCAGGATTTCAGATCATTGGATCTTACCTACCTTCTGTCTGGATTCATCAAAATCTGCTTTTCCGAAATCCAGTATACAAGTCTGACTATTCCACTTCCACTTAATATCAAGAACTCAGAGATAATACAGTCATATTCTCCTGAGGTCTGCAGTCACCTTCTTCAACCTATTCTTCTGTTAATATGGTTTAGATCCATGTCCCCCTTCTTCCTTCTTCCACCTTCCATTACATGAAGTTGCCAGCATGAAAGGACAGGACTTTGTTGGACCTCTGACTTTGGAAATTAGATTTCCATGCCAATCCATTGTGACTCTTGCATGCCTCTTTGAAAATTTGGTCATCTAATTCATAAAGGCCTCATGCCTAGCTTCTGCTTGTCCAGGAGATCTTTTTTCAAGACCTGCCAAGATCAGCTATGTGTTCCTAACATAATGTGGAACCCCAAGAATTCAGTGGTTAATTTTTGCTATAGCAGTCAGGCAAACAGCATCAGCACATATGCAAAACGGAAGTTACCTAAGGTGGCTGCCATTTATTGGCTAGTGGAATTGGGCTTCCTAGATCAGCATTTCTCAGTCTCAGTAGTCTGGCTGGGGAATTCTGGGAATTGAAGTCCTCACATCTTAAAGTTGCTGAGACTGAAAAACACTGTCCTAGATCATAAATTGTGAGGACCTACTTAAGACCTGTTGAGTGGCCTCCACAATTCCTCAAAGCCAAGACTTGAGAAACCATGT